TCCTTCTATCTAAAATTTTATTTTATAGAAAATAAAATTCTAGAAAATTCATAAAGATAAAAAATTTTTTATTGTGATATTCTACTACGAAGTTTAATTTAGTTTCACCTATTTTTACTATAACATTTGGTCACCAAACTTCACCAGATTGGTCTAAAAATACATCTTAATACGTTCTAAAATTAAATTTTGTTATTAATTAGTGGGGTGTTTTCCAATATCCGAATGTTTAATAATATTTCTCTGACTATCTCCACATGAATAAAAGTATATGGCTCTAAGTAAGTTTCAAGTCCGTTATAAACACAGGCATCCAAGATTTATACCTAACAGAAAAAGTGGTTTGGTAACGTTGACAACTGTAATGACAACATCTCTACTCAAACCTATCTTGTATTTTTTTATTTGATGTAAGGTGCATATTGACATTACAATGTATGCATACCTGCTTGTCCTTAAAAAGCTTGTAACCAAAAAGAAGATAAATTATTTCTTCTTCATTTGTCTTAATTATTTTTTCTAAAAAAGTTTCTATCATTATAAGGGTACAAAAAAAGGGAGCCAAAAGCCCATTTGTCTCCCACCTACCGCCCACAGGGGGACCTAGAGCCTAGAGCCCCGACCTCTTCCTTTATTTATTTGCCTTTAATGTTTTTTTTAATTAGTTTACTCTACTCTAATAACCAATTAGATAGATTGTGTACAGCCCTGCGTATTATACTATATGTCGCAAGCAAGCCCAGCTCGCTTTCGAGCCACGGGCGCACATCGCATTTTTATTTACAAACTGTGAAAGTCGATATTTTTTACATTATAGATAGACTTCCATTTTCAAAACCTATGTTTAAACATTCTTATACGGGAACCGAACCCGAAAAATGCTTTTACATGTAACAAGATGAATTCCACTGCGATACTTGCCATGTATATCTCATTTAAATTTTAAATAAATATAAGTGCTTAACATAATTTAGGTCTAATAATATAATAGAATATAACACCTGATAATTTTTAACCCCTAAAATAAAATAATAAAGAAAAATTTTTAATCTAATTTACAACCTAAAACAAAAAACTATTTTTTTTAAAAAATTCAACACCGTAATATTCATCATAGTTTTTTATAATTTCTTTCGTTCTTTTATCAGTTTCTATAAAAATACTAGTATCACCATGTAAAGATTTCAAAAGCTTATTTTCGGTAACATCTTGTTCAATAGTTAATTCTTTTACGATAAGATAAAAAGAAGACTGTTCAGTTTTTACCAAGCTATTTATAATGTCGGCAAAATCCTTCAATACTATTTGTAGTTCGGGGCACTCCTTAAATACAGCTTCAAAGGGGTTAAAAAAATAAAAAAATAGTAAATAGTTTTATTTAAGCATTAAAATTTTTTTAAACGTCACTTTGAACGTTTCAGCATTCTTTTTTCTTAAAAACTTTCTTTTAAATTAAAATTCATATACAAAACTCTCCATATTAACTTTCATTATGCCACGTTTTGTTCGTAAATCGATTTTCATATGGCTCCATAAATTTTTAATATTATTGGTGTGTTGGCCTAAGTTATTTGTAACGCCAACACTATGATTAACTACATGATGATCACTGCCAAATCATGTACAACTAATCGATATGCCTCCCACTCATCCGTTTTAATAGCGGTGTCTTATACGACAAAATTTTTAAAAAGTTCAAGCATCGTAGGTGATGTTCTGTCTGGAACAATTTGTAAAAAAATATCACTTGTTGCTTCATCTATACCGCACACAAGGCACGATATGCCTAAAAATTTATCATGTGTAGATGCGGGGTGGGGTGTTGTCTTTCCCCCACATATGCTTTTTAATCTACTTGAATGAACTTCCCGGGTCCTCCTATTTTACCGAAGTAGTTGTCTACTTCGTTTTTTATTTTTTTAAAAATTTCATCCTTATAAGAAGTATATGTTAATTCAGAAATCTCGCAAGTAACGCATGCCATGCTGTTACTCATACCCATAACCCAACAATATATTATTCTTAATTGGATGAAAGCAGGTAGACAAAATTTTTGACGGATTGTTCCTGTATAAATGCTCTGTCTTTTGTAGCAGCCATTTGCACAGTAAAAACAAATTCCTTTTTTAAAAAGCATACTTTTCACCCGCTTTGTGTAGACACCACATACACATCTTATTGTGCGCCCGAAAAAGTCAATAGATTTTAAAAAATTTATTGCTGCTTTTTCGTCTTGAAAAATTGGCTCATAGAAATTTTTTATGTTCATAGAGGGGTTAAAAAATAAAAAAAACAAAAATCGCTTTGCTTAAATACAGTTTCAAAAAGGATAAGTTTAGTACAAATTCCCTATTTTTTTATTTTTTAACCCCTTTGAAGCTGTAATTAAGAAGCGCCCGTAGTTCCTGGGACATTATTTATTGTTCTATCAAACACATTCCAAAGTCTATGCTTCTATTACTGTTATCAAATTTTAAGTATTTAGTTTGAAAGCATTCAAGAAGTCTTAAAACTTCCCATGATTTTTCATTAGTAAAGTATTTTTTAAGGCGAGTAGAAACAACCAAT